CAGCTCTGACGATACCAATTGCTGGTCAAGATTTTGATGAATATTTTCTTTCAATGCTGCTATCTGACACCCAATTTTTAATGGAATATGGTGAAACACCAGATATTGAACTCGCAAGAACACTCAAGGAATCTGATATTTGTGAGGTTCTTTCAGATCTTGATTCCATAGAGGATAGACCAGATAGAATAGAAGCTGAATATAATGGAAGAAAGGTCAGATCTTACTACAATTACTGATATTTAAAGATTGTACCCGGGTAGACATTTTTATCAGATGGCTATAATAAATTACCTGGATAAAAATTCTCTTGACATATTACAATCTCTGCATATATTATGCTTATCCTATGCTTATTATTGTAACAAATTTTATAATCGATCAAAACAGTTTACAATTGGTCTTGAACGTTTCCAAGTCGTCGAACCTATTTTCAACCCTCATCTAATAAATAGGGAAGGGGTTCTTTCTTTACCTGAGGCTATTTATCGGGCAATATCTTATTGCGAGCCAGACAAACGAGCTACATTATGGGAGAATATTGCGTTTACTGGTGGTTCATCTTTACTTAAAGGTGAAGTATCATTTTTAATTTATTGTGCAGATTATATATCGGATATATTGTTGATTACAAAAATTATCAAATGAATCTATGGTGTTCGACATCATATATATGTTCATGTTATTTATTTTCTGGAAGAGTCGGGTATTTTTAATTAGATCAAATACTGATTATTTGGCCGTTTTTGAGGCAATTATGTGTTTAACACCTACGATGTATTTTAATAAACTTGGATAATATAATAATACTATTAATATTTACTACTAGGCTTTAAAGAACGTCTTGAAAAAGAGTTAAATGTATTTCTTTATACTTCGGACAATGCTGGCGAATACCAAATCAAAGAAGCAAGATTTTTAAAATTACCCGAGTATTTTTCAACTCTTAAAGATAGACCGGAATTAGTTGGATACCTGGGTGCTGCCATTACAGCTAAAGTAAGTTTATATTTCAATTAATTGTATTTATAAAATTATTTTAAATGAAATTATATATACTCATTTTATGTTTCGTTTATTGTACTTTGAAGCTTTCTTTTCCTGACCCTAAAGGTTTTATTAATAAAGTCGATTACAATGAGCATGGACCAAGCGTAGTTCATACTAAAAGTTATTAATTACTTGTAGATTTGTAATAGCTCTGCTTTATTTTGAATACAGATTTGATAAATGATGAATAAACGAATTTTTAATCTATGATTATTATTGTATCTGATTTTGAAACTGAGTTTCTATTTGAATATGCAAACCATATTACTCTTTTATTAAGGGTAGAGGGTACAAATTGTAAATTATATATAGAACTTATGGTATTTATCTTTTCTTTTTAAAATTTTATAAACTTTTATAAAGTAAATCATTTAAGTAAAATTGTAGAACAGGTTTTTCTGATTCCAACAATAGTAAAATTATTAAGATTGGTTTAAATATTCGTCGAGATATGAATATTTAAATTTATGATGATCATATTATATCAACCAATCAAATAAATATTTTATCTACTAAAAAGAAAATTTTGTTCTTTATATTATAAAATTTTGGTTAAAGTTAATTATAATTATAAGAAGTTTTATTAATAACATATTTTCATTTTCTATATAAATCTTATTGTACCACTAAAATAGGGATTGAAACCGCCTAAAATTTTTCTTAATCATTTAATTGTTTAACCGTTTAATTTGGCCGGCATTAAAATAATTCCGGCTCACGACCAACATAATTCTGCCCGGAACTATGGAGCAATTTTTAAACGGTTAAACGGCTCCAATCCCTAATTCATAATGTTATAACTGATTCAAAATTCATAAATATTAGTCATGAAATTTAGATTCAACCTCGATGTGATTCGGTACAATAACATGTATAGCGGACTATTTTAGTTTTGGACGCATGCCAACATTGGCATGCCCATGCCCATGACCACAACTTCATACAGTTATTTCATGATCAATTTCCAAATTTAGGGGGTCATCTAAAACCGAGTTGATCTACGTATTGCATAAATCGTATTCTTGATATTTTATAAATCACTAACCTTAAATGCATCAAAAAAAGTACGTTCAAAATACGTGATCATGGCTGATCATAAGATCAAAATCGCGAAGTTATGAACGTGTCAATAAAACAATACATACTTATAAATACTTTCTTTTTTTTTTTTATTTCATACTATCTCTCGTCATGGTATTTACACAACTATTTCTTATTACCTTTTATTATCTTTATTATTTTTTACATTTTTTGTTTTAAACTTTTTTTTTTAGATAGTTGTTTTTGACCGTTGGTTCCTAGTGTCTTTGTATCTTTCTTTTTGTTTTTTTTTTATTTAAAATTACTATTTTTAATACTTTTTTTATTTTATTGTTACTTTTTAGATTTTAGGTTTATTTTTCTACTCGGTTGCCGTTGGTTCCGAGTATTCAGTATCTTTTTTTTTGTTTTTTTATTTATTTAAAATTACTGTTAATATTTTATTTTATTTATTTTATTATAGTTTTTTAGCTTTTAGACTTCGTTTTTTTCGCCGTGGGTTCCGAGTATTTGTATCTTTTTTTTTGTTTTTTTTTGTTAATTTAAAATTACTGTTAATATTTTTATTTTATTTATTTTATTATAGTTTTTTAGATTTTAGACTTCGTTTTTTCGCCGTGGGTTCCGAGTATTTGTATCTTTTTTTTTGTTTTTTTTTTTTATTTAAAACAATCGTTTATCAATTTTTTTTTATTTTTAGGCGACCCAACCATGAGATACACCTTTGCGTGGTGGTTGGGATAAGTAGGGGAATTAATTTTTGGAGAATTAATCTCTGAAACAAAGTGTCTCGAAATTTTTTTTATTATATATATAATATTGTAATTTTGTATTTTAAACAAATAAAAATTAATAAAGTTATAAAAATAAAATCTTGTAATGAAAAGTTATAAATTTTTGCGTTTAAAAATGACATTTTTTTTATTTTACGAATGTAAATAATAAATGTTAATAAATATTATTATTACTAATAAGTTGAAAAGTTTACGTCTCGAGTTAAATATAACTAACATTATGCATTATCGTTATTGAATGTTTAAAATCGATTTTTGAAAGTGAGATTCTATAGTATCGAAGTCGAAATATTGACCCAAACTTGTATGGCTAAATGCGGTAAAAAATTAACCGGTACGTAGAATTTATCGGCTTAGCCGAAAAAATTATGGCCGGTCATGCTCATAAATTTAAATCGGGACCTGATTGGCTATATACAAAAATTATGGATAATTTTTATTTAAAGTAGATAATCATTCAACGATTTGGCTATCACTATTTCGAATTCGAAATGCCACCACCTAAAACTTCTGGCAAAAATTTGGAATCCGAAAGTACGTTACAGGCCGTCATTCTTGCTGATAGTTTTAATGAACGATTCCGTCCCATAACCCTTGATAGGCCACGAGTATGATTTTTCTGTGATTAGAGATTATTTCATACCCCACACTATTATAACTTCGCCTCA